TGCATGACGTCAAATTTATGTAAACTTCTATTTAACCTTTCCCAATGCTTATCCCTATTTTCCTTGAGTTGCGGTGAGTAAATTAGTTCTTAAGTTACTACATATGCGGGTATCAGAAAGCTCCGCTGGAAGTCTAAGTTAGCATCTGTTATCAACTAACTATGTCGCATTCAACAACTTCTTCAGCTTCATAGACATGCCAGTTTATATTCCACACAAGTTACAAGTTATAAACAGCTGCATATCAGGTCATTATCAGTTTATGATTAGTAATATTTAATAAACCAAGAAGTTACAAGTTATAAACAGCTGCATATCAGATCATTATCAGTTTGTGATTAGTAATATTTAATAAACCAAGAAGTTACAAGTTATAAACAGCTGCATATCAGGTCATTATCAGTTTGTGATTAGTAATATTTAATAAACCAAGAAGTTAGCTGCATATCAGATCATTATCAGCTTGTGACTAGTAATATTTAACAAATCATTGGATTAGTATTATAAAAATAATCACCTTATTTTTTATTTTGTTGTTATTATTTTGTGTTTCGCAGAGGGCTATATAATAAATTGACATTTCCGTTGGCTTAGTTAACAGAGTGAACCAGCAAACGTCATACTTTATTCTACAAATTGATCGAGAGAATAAATCTGTGAAGACAGAGCCGTACAGATAGGATGTCTACCATTTGTACACCTAGTGCTGGTATGTTACCCTTCATTGCCTTTGCTCTCTCCCTTGTAAGCATCGTTCTTCAGCTGGTAGCATTACCGTCTGACTACTGGGCTGTCATATACCCACAGAATGATTCAGGTAGAAATTATTCCATAACCTCAATATAAAAAAAAAGATATATCTTTATTATGTACCTAATGATACCTTCGTATTATTAACCTATATATAATCGTGACTGTACAGTTTGTAAACATGTTGGAGGTTGTGTAATGATATATATCCTTAATTATTATCACATTATTTAACTTTGTTATTTATAAACATGGTAGAGTTTGTGTAATGACATATCCTTAATTATTATCATATTATTGAAATTTTCTATTTAGTTTTTGGCCTTATTACACCATCTCGTATCATTATTTATTTATTTTGAAGTAAAGTATACCCTGTTCCTTTTTAATGTTACTTTTATTAGAATTTATTATAATGTTTAATAGATCTATTATTACTGTTTTTTCTTATAGAGATTATTTTGCATTGTTAGCTTAGTATATAAATCTCCTAAGCTGGTCGAACTTTGTGAGTTATTATTGAGTTTACAGCCGAAAATGTCGTTAACAGCGAATGTACCAAACTGATGAAACAATGCATTATAATCTTCATAAGTAAGAACAGTGTATGTAATTAGTTATATTAATTACTGGGTTCATTTATATTTTTGATCTAAGCTTATATCTGATAAAAAAATTAATAATTTTGTAGCCCCAACTGAGAATCACACACACACATATGTATCATAAACCAAAAATCATAAGTGACATAATGGAAACAAAAAGTTATTGCATGATTTCCAACTTTATTTCAACTGTTGTAAACATTAATAAAATATTTAATTAGTAGCAACCGGTTTTGTGATGTAAGTGTCACCCACTCTTCAGTTATATGTAGCAAAGAGTAAAATTAATAACTATTGAAGTATTATCTAGAGATAAAATGAATATGTAAAATAATATATAAATTAAAGTAAAAACAAGAGAGAATCCTCAATAGCCGTGGCAGGGTCAGGGTAAATTAATCTATGAGACCTTGAGCGTGGTCAAACACGTCAATCGAAAGGGTTTGACCTCCTGAGTCCAGCATTGTAATTAGATCTCAAATCGATCAAAAGATGACGGAGATATGAGCTAAAAGTTTGTACTTGATAAAACAAACAAACCTCAGAGCCATCCTATGAGCCGCTATGCCGTGGCTATTAAAAGCTAATGACAACTAAAATTCGCGAAACTAAGCTCACATTTTAACACTAAAGCCTATTGTTTGTGTGCCTATACGAAATTGTAGTTTCCTTTAATCTGTCTTTCAAACTTTTAGAGTCTGTTAATAATGCCCTCAGGATCAGCGGTAAGTGTACAGATTTACAACGCTAAAATCCAGGGCGCAATTCCTCGCAGTGGACAGATTGCAGATAGCCCATTGTGTAGCTTTGCGCGACTAAAACAACAACAACAACCGTTAAAATAACGTTTCTGTAATTTAATAATCTTTTTATTATTTAAAGATGTTTTAAAACGTCGCATTAAATGTTTTCATAAATATGTTTTAATTTTTCTTTACATGTCCAAAACATTAAAAAAATTGTCTTATGTTTCCAAAGTTTAGTTTAATACATTCACAAAACTGTTGACTTACTTGAAAAGGGGTAAATGTTAGACTACGAACATGAATGTTATGTGCATACGAAATCATACATACATACTTATACTTGCGATGTGTAATGAAATTTCTATTGGGAAAACTGAAACTTTAAGATCACGCATGATTTAGCAAATAAAGTTTCAATACAATACTTCGTATAAGACGAAATTCATACGAGAACTTTTAATTTTCGTTATATATTTATTTATTTGAATATATGCACGACTTTAAACGTACGAAACCTGTAATATTGACTGGATGAGTTACGCTGACAGTAAATAATGAAAATGCTGGAATAGTATCGCTGTTAGTGAGCAACCAACAGTGTAAAATATGTTATCTATCGTGCATTTCCAAAGAATAGCGACAGTTGTTTACAATAAAAGTCACAACATTTACTTGTACAGGAATGTCACACGCGGTTCTACGCACTTGCTACCTAAGGTTTTAAGACGCGTGTTGTATTACAACGAGAGTCCAAAGGCCTAGCATGCAACCCGAATCAGTGATGGGATCTCTGTTGTCGTCTCATAGTTACATAACATTTTTGAACCATCCTGGTAACAAATTAAAATTAACCCTGGGAATACTACGAGTGAATTATCCGTGGAGTCCTGCCTGTGAACAGCACACTTTATAGAGTTTAATAAAAAAAACTTCAACCCATCCCAAAGCATAGGTTTGTATTTGATAAGACACTATCAGTTCTTCAGAATGTAATCATCCATGCCTTGTTTCTCAGATGATATTTCTTCTATTTCATTGTTGTTGCTTTTATTATTTAAATTAGTGTCATTTCTAACTTGTCCTGTTTGATTTTTTGTTTGCAATTACTGTAGTAAAATTCGGTATACTATACATTCTATTATCAATATGTAAGGTAGTTGTTACCCAGTCTCGTAGTGGAGAATTAGTGGTAATAAAAGGAATCGAGTTTTGATTGGAGCCACTAATAAACGCCATCACTGGAGAAATACTATGCAAAGATTATAAGCACAGTAATTAGTTACTTGATCAGTATAGTATAATTGTTTACTTTTGCTTTAAAATACAGATTAACTCTTGTAGTTTATTCGTTAATCTGTCTTTAACTGGTATATTTTTAAAAACTCGAGATGACATTGTTCATTAGATTCCAGGTCATATTCCCAGATCTTATCTCTTGCAGTACTGATCTTGATTAGTATGTTTATAAGTTTTAATGATGTGAATATATAGTTTGTAAATGTTTCCTTAATAGCTAGTTGAGACATTCACTTCAAGGTCTTTTAATATTGGCGAGGATATAGAGTAAGAGGAAGCGAAGCCATAATTTATACATGTGTATACAGAATGTACCTGAATTATAATAATAAGGTAATGAAGAAAAAATTAATATAAGTTTAACATAACAGCAAATGTACAACGTTTCGACGAGGTTTTGCCATCATTAACAATTTATAACGTAAACGAATTTGATTCAGAGCCTGTTTATACATATTATTTTTTGCGAAAAGTACAAAAAACAACAACAAACAGTTTGAAACAAAAACAGACATGTACGCAGAACACTGTTAGGAATATATAGTTTCTTGCAAGTTTTAAGTCGGAACAAAAGCATAATGTTATTGGACTTCTTAGTGTAAAACACAGCTTATATAAAAACATTTAGATGTGCAAGTTTCACAACCATATTTTCAGTCAGAGAAAGTCATAGGTTAAATTTGGTCAGAGAATGTTCATTAAGCCAATCGTATTATCCTGGTGCTTTTTTCAATAAAAACCAAGGCTAAATTTATAAAATTCAAGGGGAAAATACCCTCGAGAAGTGGTATAGTTCCAAAATTTTATAGTGCCAATGGTCTGCCAAAATTTGTCAGACGTGTGATGTCACCATAAGGATAAAGATCTCAAAGGCTAATTTCAACTTTTCGTCTTTTTTATATAAATAAAATATATTCAAAACTGATTATTTGAAAAAATAACTGTGTACCAAATAAAATCACTAACATTAAAACAAATTTTAAAATCGCATATCTTACTGATTTACTATCTTTCTAATGCACATTAATATTATCAACCTTGATTGTTATTGCTTTCACACTTCAGTTATAGCTTTTACATTTAATGGCGTTACACGTCTAACTTAGGGGGTCTTATTAAGGCTTTGGCAGTCGATAAGGTCACACATAAATAAGATGATTCCTAATTAAATTTATTACTCTTGATTTTAAAAGTGTAGAGAATGTATAATGAAGGAAACCTTGTTATAAATGTACAACGTTTCGTTTCG